CAAGCTTTCGCGGTCGCTGTCGCTCTACACCGCAGCGTGGGCAGCCTTTGTCCCTCTGACCCCGCGCTTTGGCATACGCGCGACGTCAGCGTTCCTCGTCAAAAATGGTGTGTCGGTGGACTTGGAGCCATTGGCCGTCGCCTTCTTGACGTCGCGCGTCGAGGTTGTCGCTGACGCCGACCTCATTGGCGAGTACGGAGCGCACTCGGCTCGAAGCGCCGTGGCCGCCGCCTTTGACGCGCACCTCGACGTTCAGGGCGACCTCCCAGCGTGGCTCGCTGGAGAGAAAGCTCCCCAGCCGTGGTTGTGCGGCCATTTCGTTGCCAAGCCGTTTGCGTTGCTTGTCGAGCGCATGGAAGCGGCACCCGTCGACGACGACAAGACGGTACGTCTTCTCTGGCAAACCAAAAGTCTCGTGCAGCCCAAGGGCCCAAGCGACGAGTGGCCGCGGTTCCAGGAGCTCGCTGCGTCGTGTCCGATCTTTCGCGACTGGGCCATGCGGGGTCGAGCGTCCTCCGTCCTCCGCCGCGGCCGCGTCGACGTCGACAAAGACAATGGCGGGAGTTATCAATCGCTCATGACCGAGCAGTCGTGACGCACGAAGATCGCAATTTCGATGTACAAGAAGACAACGATTACCTCAACATCATAGCAAAGTCTATCTGCGTCCACTTGCGTCCAGCATCCCTACCCCTGGTATCCATGGCAAGCCCAGTAGTATCCGGATGTGTCCGGATAAGGCAGTCAATCAAATCGCTGCATTGGTTCCGACACTGTGATGACGACCGACAACCGGGGCCCCGTTCTCTTCGTGCTCATTGATGGCCTCGCAGACTGGTCCATCGAGATGGACAAGTACCTCCCTGGCGCCGGCGTGGCAACGCCACTGGCAGCGGCGCGAACGCCAGCCATGGACGCGATCGCGGCTGGCGGCTTGAGCGGCCTCATGGACCCTGTCGAGCCCGGCCTCGCGTGCGGCAGCGACACGGCGCACATGTCCATCTTTGGCTACGACCCGCAAAACAACTACCGCGGGCGCGGTGCCTTCGAGGCGATGGGCGCCGGCCTCGACATGGAGCCTGGCGACGTCGCGTTCAAGTGCAACTTTGCGACGCTCGACCCGACGACGAACGTCGTGACGCTGCGCCGCGTCGACCGGGATTTCCACGAGTGGGGCAAGGACCTCTGCGACTTTGTCAATACCATCGAAGACCCTTGCGGCGTGCCGGGCGTGCGCGTAGTCTGCAAGCACGCGACCGAGCACCGGTATGGCGCCACAACCTATCGTCCGATGCCAAGTCGACTCGCGTAGATGCGGCGTCGTCTTCAAGGGGCCCAAACTCACGGACAACATCACGGGCACGGACCCGCTCAAGGACAAGTACGCTGCTGCTTGAGACTTGGATGCGTGTCGATGCATGGACGTTTTTAGTTTGCCGCTGCAGGTGTCTGTTCCCGCCGGTGCCAACGAGAACGCAGCCTTCTCCGCCACGGTACCTCGGCCCTTGTCGGTCGTCTTGGAAGCAACGATGATTAGTGCTTGAACAACGCTTCGAACGCGATCCACAAAGCCTTGTCGGCGCACCCGATCAACGTCGATCGCGTCGCGCGGGGTTTGCCGCCTGCCAACCTCATCTTGCTCCGCGGTCCCGGCGAGCGCATCAGCGTAGGCCTGCATGGCATGACAGAGCCAACTGCTAATGGCCACTGCGTAGGTGCCGTCGTTTGAAAAGAAGCACGGTCTTCGGGCCTTTATGATCGCGCCGACCTGCATCATTGCGGGGTTGGGCAAGTCGCTTGACATGGACGTCGTGCCGGTCGAGGGCGCGACGGGCGACTACCACACCAATTTGCACGCCAAGGCCGAGAAGGCGCTAACGCTCTTCGCGTCCGGCAACTACGACTTTGGTTTTGTGCACGTCAAGGCCGTGGACGACGCTGGCCACGATCGCAACGTCGCGACCAAGGTACCGAACGATATCTGTCGTGTGTCCGAGGAGGCTCAGCGAGGGGCTAGCTCAAGTTTATCGAGCGCGCGGATGCCATGATTGCCCAGCTCCTGCATGGCCTTGCGGCCGCGTCGCCCACCGTACGTTGTTACAACACGGCATGGGGCTCATGCACTCGGTGGCTAGGCAACAATCGTGCTGACAGGCGACCACACGACGCCGGTGCTGTACGGCGACCACACGTTCGAGCCTGTTCCGCTGACAATCGGCCGGGTGCACGCGGCGGCGGCCCACCTGCGTGGCGAGCCACTCGTGCACGACGCGCGTCTCCAAGACACGGTCTCGGCCTTCTCCGAGGTCGCGGCGGCGGGCGGTGGCCTCGGGCGCTTTGCCGGCGACCAGGTCATGGAGATCGTCAAGCAGTTCCGAGCGCTCAACGTGCCGAGCGTGTAATCCCGTACTAGTACAAAACGTTTGGGCTGCCACGTACGTGTGCGCATCTTGCTCCACGCGCTGGAGAGCGGCGGACGTGGTAATCGGATTGGTTGAAATGCCGAGGCAGTGGCCAATCAGAGATACAGCGTTACCAACCGGCTTGCGCGTCAGAACCGAACTTGCTACAATGTCGGTGAAGGAGCCGGCGCCGCTGTCGGTGCTCGTGACGGAGGGCGCATGGAACGTCTACTGCGTCTCGCCCATGTACAAGTTCTCACACGACGCGGCGACACTGTCGGCCGACGCCATGGAGCTCGTGGCGTACCTGCGCAGCAACATGGCGGGCGAGCTCAAGGCCAACCAGACGGTCACGGCCAGCGTGCGCTCGCAGGGCGACGTCGCGCTCTTCGCGATCACAGAGACGCTCGTGAGCGGACCGCGGCGCCTCGGTGGCTTTATCTATTACACGCCCGACGTGCCGGGCACGAAGAAGCGCACGGACGTGCTCCTCTTGCAGGGCAACGAAGACCTCCTTGCGCTCATCTGCGCCTGGTTGCAGCACCAGTACCAGTGCGTCGTCGCACTCCACGCCGTCAGCGTCAACTCGGTTTCGATGGAAGCGTTTGCGTACAACTTGTACCACATAATGCTCGAGGCCAACGGTACGGAGCTCCCTTATCGTCGACGACGACTCTTGACAACAGCGTAGACAACGTCGAGCACGCGCCGCTGCGACTCACGCTGCATTGCGAGAGCGTGGGCAAGTCGGTGCAGAGTGTCACGATCTCGGTGCCGTGGCGCGACTTGTGTGCGAGCCACCGCGCGCTCACGCACAGCCACAGCAGCGCGAGGTAGGTCCTCCTATGTGATGGGAAGCTGACGAGTTTTGAGCAGTGAAAACATCACGCGACGAACGACTGTTGTCGGCACCGGCTCCGAGTCGGGTGCGTCCGCCATGTCCTTTCTAAATAGTTTTCCAATGTCGCCTAGATCGGTTCATTCGTGGCTTCATCGCCAAGTACGTGGCACAGCTGCCCGTCGAGATGTCGTCGTATCGACTCTTCTCCGTCTCGTCCGAGGATTGCATTCTCGAGAACTTGGGCCGGCTTCAGGTACCTCACATCATGTCGACTCGGTGGCTCAGGGAACACCTGTAGTTTTTCACAGCAGAGTCGGTGCCCGCTGTGCTCGATGCGGTTCTGCAGCTCTTCGTCGCCCAAAGCGTCTTGTGCCCCGAAGCGCCGGAAACGACGTTTTAAGCTGTCTTTGAAATGCAAGTACCCGAGCTACGGAAGGTTGACGCAACTCCGTTAGCTCGTCAGTCGCCTTTTCTGCTGATCGATCGTCTCGTGTGGCAGGGAACATCGTGCTCAGAGAGAACCGACGGCGTCGTGCTCGTACTCTTGAGAGAGAAAACATCATCATTAGGTCTATCTATCCATATCGGCTCAGGTCGAGGCTCATCAACGGCGATGACGATGCTGCGACTGTTGCCGTTGACACGGGGCGCGAGAGAGCACTGCGCAGGGCGCCTTCGAGGCTTGTCTTGGTGGATGGCGAGAGACCGGCGACGGCCGCCTTGAAGGCAACGGCGTACGTCGTCGCGTACGTGACGAGCATGCGGTTCACCGACGCGGTTTGCGAAGAGTGCAGTGGCAGAAGCAGTGGCAAAAGCAGGCGCAGGAGCCCGTCAACCGATTCCACCGGCATTTTGAGCATCGCGACACCCAAGACGCCGTCGATCGCATCCACGCGGGCAGCGTCAACCTCGGGAAACGACAAAAGGTCAACCACGGGCGCCCCGAGGACACTTAAGTAGGGCGCTGGGGCGCAGTCGCTCAGCACACGCGCGGCATACAACGCATCGTCGACGACGTCGCGGTTCGTATCGGCGATCCGGATCGCCAAAAGTTGCGCCATCGATGTGTGGAACGGGGCAGAGTACTGAACAAACGCGGGCATCGCTTGGCCGTACGTTAGCACTGCATGGGCGGCAGAGAGGAGCAAGCGACGCTCGCCATGTGACAAGGACGCGTCATCGGTAAGCGGTGTCTGGATGGCCGCGAGAAACGTTGCAAAAGCCGATGGCAGCGTCGGGTGGAGATCACCAGCGGCCGCGACCCGGAGCGTCGACTCAATGTACGCGGCGCCAACAGTCTCGAACCATGGCTCACGGAGGAAGCGAAGGAGCACGTCTTTGGCGACGAGAACAAACCCGGCGCCAAACGTAGGGGTCGACACCAAAAGGAGAATGCCGCCGACGGCCGTGCGCAACGCCTCCGTCACGACGCTTGGAGCGTACGTCGTCGTCTTGGTCGCGACCGCGTGCCGCAGGACGTACGTCGTTGCCACGCTGATCGTGTGCACGAGCGCCGAGTTGCCGACCGAGTCGCTCTCGGTACGCAGCGTCCGCTGGACAAAGGCCGCGCCGTCTTTCGTGACCAGTAGCTGGAGACCGCGGAGAGCTTCCACCTGAACGCTCGGGACCGACGACGAGCAAAAGAGTCCGAGCGTTTGGAGCAAGTTTTCAAAGCTCTCCCGCTGGAGCGACGCCCAAAACCCCGTGTTGAGGAGCGCGGGCAGCGACTGCAGCAAGGGGACCGCGGCGTCCGCGTGCTTGGACGTGTGTGAGAGATGCAGAAGCGTCGCCGTGAGCACGAGCGTTCCGTGCTCGCCAGTTGCACCGACGGCCGCCAAGATCGGCGCCACGTGTGCCAGCGCGACGCTGCGCAGCTCGTCAATTGGCTGCGACGACGTGAAGTATGCGCCGCCAAAGTCACTGGGTCCCGCAAGCAAGACGAGAGCGCTAAAGTCTTGGATGCTGGCGACCCACGCTGCCGTCATGGACGCCACGTCAACGCCGAGCGACGCGAGTTGGGCGACGCTCGAGAGCGCGGCCATGGCAAGCGTGAAGCGCACTGCGTTGCTGCAGCCAAGATGGGCAAACGTAAAGTCCGAGACGAGTCCGAGCTTGACGAGGCGGTTGATTGCGACCTTGTCCTTGACGATGCCATGGCTCAGAATGTGCGACAGCATGTAGTATCCTTGGATCGATAGCGCCTCGTACGTGTGGCAAAATGGCTTGCTAGAAGCGCCTTCCTTTGGGAACGCGCGCCGAATCGTCGACGAGAGCTGCGCTTGGTACTGCGCGAGGACGTGTGCGCCAGGCTCGTCCGGGTCGTCACAAGTGGCTAATTTCTCGCACACGACGTTGAGCAGTCGAAGGCCGACGCTCTGGATGTGCTGAAGCTCAAAGCCGTCCATCGACATGGCGCTAATCTGGCACCCGAGCGTCACGAGCTCGTCAATGTAGAGCGCAATGTAGTTGGCATCGTCTGCACCGAGCGCTTGACGCGCTGCCATCACGTCAAAGTGCACGGCCGCCGCCTTGGATGCACCGACGTGGTCGAGGAGTGCGAGGACGCAAGTGACAGCAAACTCGCGCACACGCCGGCGCAAGCACGGCAGCGGGTTCAAGAGCGTCGAAACGCGGTGGCTGGTGCGGCGCCAGAGGTCCATTGCGGCGTTCGCGTCCTTCCCGCGCGGGCTCTCGACCATGGCCGTGACGCCACCCACCGCAACGCCCCGGCATAGAAGCAGCCACTCGGCAACTTTGTTGCCATCCGTGACGCGGCCGCAGTCGGTTAGAAGCAGCGCGTTCAAACAACCTTGGAGCTCGCTCGAAGCACTCGTGGTGGACCGGCGCGCGTGGATGTAGAGGCCGCGCCAGAGCGGCATCGCGCTCCAATCCAGAATGCGCTCGTGGACGTCAAGGGCCTGGAAGAGCGTCACGTGGAGGCTGTGGCCGGCGATGAATCCTGGCTCGCGCTCGACGAGGATGCGCACGATGAGGAGCATGACACTGCGGCAGGCGGCCGGCGTCGTCTTCTCGAGCAGTTGGCTCTGGATGCGCACGAGGTCCGAGACGCGAAAGTACGCGGGCGCAAAGAGCACGAGCTGCTCGACAAAACGAAGGTACTCGAGCTCGACGCGCGGGTCCGCGCCGAGGCGCAAGAGGTCCCAAATCCCATACAAATTGTCAATGCGGTCCGGATCCTGCAAGAGCTCAGGGCCGAGCGCCGACACGATGCTGTTGACAATCTACGGGGTTCAAGGGTAAGCGTCCCGTCGGCAACTGAAAATGACCTGGCCAAGCGACGTGCAGACGGACGACGTCATGCGCAGCACGGTGGTCTTCTTGAAGGCGCAGTTGAGCGGCGTGAAGCGCGTGCCGGCCACGAGGTGGCTCTCGATGAGTGCCAGCGACGGCGCGACGTACTGATCGTCGTAGTCGCCGCTCGTGTTGACGCACTCGAGCAGCAGGTTCCAGGCGTGAAGCACCCACGACCGGATCGGTTGCGCCATACAGAAGACGTGCTCCATATTGATGCGAAAGAGCAAGTTCACGTCAATGCTGCAGCGCGACCCGCAGCTGCGTTTGAGGTGCGCGAGGGCGAGCGCGCTCCCCGCAAGCGACAACGACTGGTTGTCGTGCTGGTCGATTGTGATTTTTGTCTCGAGCTCGTTCACGAGTGCGCGAATCGCAGCTTCGCTTGCGAGCGAGCCGAGCAACCCAAGCGCTTCAGCCGCGCTTCGACGCACGCTGCCCGTCGGTGCAGAGAGCATCTCAAGCAGCATCGCCTGCATCGCGCCGAGCCACGGCGCTGATTGAAAGGACGCAGAGGTTTTTGTCGAGTCTCGAACATGGACGTGGGCCTCGCGCACGGTGGCGAACAAAAGGGCGCAGACGTTGGCGACGCAGTCCACGCGGTGGTCGCCAAGCACACCGGCAAAGTGCTGGAGGACGCGCAGCTGGAGCTCGTCGGGCACCGCGAGGAAGACGCCGGGAAACACGTGGACGCAGGCGTCGACCATGCGCACGTACGTGAACGCGCTGCCAGCGTGCATCGCGCTCGTCAGCTGCGAGAAAAAGTTGTCGACGTACGTCGTTTCCATCTCAATGTCCGAGAGTGCCGTGTCCGGGAGGAGGAGCGCGAGGATGAGATTGAGGCCGCGGGGCAGCATCGGGTCGGGCGCGTCGCCAGCAGCAAGGCGCGCGGGCGTGCAAATGTCGAGCACATGATCGTGGCTTTGGAGGTACGTCGTCGACGGCGGCACGAGCGACGCGCGCGCAAGCGACGTCAGCGGCTGCGCGGTTGTAAACTCGGCCACCAGATCCAGCAGCCGCATCCACGAGTCGGCGTAGACGCTCGGCGGGAGGCACTGGAAGACCTTGATGGTCCAGCACAAGACGCGGTGCTTGGCCACTTTGGCGCGCTGCTTGGTCGGCGTCCCAAACGCCGCAGCGGCCTCGAGCGTCGCGTGCAGCAGCTGCGCGCAGAGCGTGTCGAGACCGTCCGTAGTGGGCTTGGTCGCCATAAAGCTGTAGAGCGCAATCACCGCGCCTTCCATGCGCAAAAGCTCCTGCGACGGGTCTCGGGCCTGGGACACGCTGGCCTGGAGCCAGAGGTGGCTGAGACGGCTCGTGATGCTGCGCGTATAGGCTGCATCGAGCACGACGAGGGCGCTGAGCACGTCCCAGCCGCCGCGCGTGCATGTGAGCCAGACCGCATCGGCCACCTGCGGCGTAAACTGGGTTGTGAGCATGCGCTCGGCGAGCACCAAAAGCCGGTCGTAAAGCGACCGAGAAAAGCCAACGGCTTGCAACTTGAGCGCGCGCAAGAGGTGCGCAACGGCGTTTGACGTGCCGTGCAGCCGGTACAGAAGCAGCGTGTCGGCACCGACTGCCGCCGCGTCGACGGCAGACGCGAGGGCCGTGAGGAGCGCATCCAGCAGCGCTTGGCGACGGTAAGGTACGGCGACCGCCAAGGACGCGAGGGCGACGCCGGCCTCGACGCGGACACTGTGCTTTTCGTGCGAGAGCCAGTGCGTGAGCGCTTGCGTCGCTTCGTCGGCAAACACGACAGCCGCTTCGCCGAGGCCCATGGTCGCGTGGCTCACTTCGACGAGCAGCACGAGTCGCTGGTGGTGCGTACGCGCCGACACTTGCAGCTGCGAAAGGAGTGCGCGAAGCCAGGACGGCTGCGACCGCTCTTGCGCTGCGTGTGCGAGGCGGCGCAAGGCGTATCCGACAGCGTTGCGCGCGCGGACAAACTCGTGCGTGGACGGCAGCGGCGCGTCCAGCCAAGACAAGAGCGCGTCGAGGATCGCGCCGTAGCTCGTGTCGGCGACAAAGTCGTCGGGCAAAAAGTCAGACAAGTTGGCGGCAACGATGGCTGCCGACGCAAACGACCCGCCGATCGACGACGAAGTGCCGAGCAGCAGCGTCTCCTTGATGTACTGCAGCGCGTGGGGTACGCTTGCGAGTCCGCTCGGCGTTTTCGTCTTGCGCGTCAAGACCGTCGAGAGCTTAAAGTTGAGCGACTTGAAGCGGTGGTCCGCGTCGTCTCCCTCGACGGCCGACGGATTCGGCGTCGACGGCACCGCAGACGACCCGTGTCTGGCACGTGGCGGTCTCCACGCAGCACGTAGAGCGAGAGGAGCTTGCCAAAGTTGACTGCCATGACGCGGCGCACTTCGGGCGACGGGTCGTCCAGCGCCTTGGAGAGGACGTGGAAGAGACCGTCGAGCGCAGCGCCGGACGGTTCGTTCATGTCTGTCGCGTCAATGAGCACAAAGAGTATCTCGCCAGAGAGATGGCGGACTTCTGGGCACTTGTCCGTCGTTGCTTTCGCGACGAGCTTTGTGACTTCCGCGTGGTACGGCACTGCGTGGAAGCTAAACTGCCGAAGCATCGACGCCAGCGCCGCGAGAAGCGTGTGCCGGACGTAGAGGTCGGCGTGGCGAATGTGCTTCGTCGTGAGCGAGAGAAGCTCGGGAAGGAGAGCGCCGGCAGCCGCGATCTGCGCGTACTCTAGCTGCGCCATCGCTCGGAGGATCGTGAGCTTGGCGTACAGCGGCGCTGTCTTGCTGAGCACAACGTCCATGCAGTCGGTGGTCGCGCTCACATCGTAGGCGAGCACGAGGATGTCGCAGATGACTTGAACGATGCCATCGGTTCCTATCGCCTTGCCGTGGTAGGCTTGCACGCTCATGAGGAGGCAGCGGAGCAGGTTCGTAGCGGCCACCTCCTTCTTCGAGCCTGGCTCGACGAGGATCTTGGTGACGGCGTCTTGAGCGCGCACAGCGCCCGCAGGAGGTTGCGCTGGCTCTCACTCTCCGCGCTGATCTGCTCGGCCGCGTCGAGCACGAGCGCCCCGAGCTGGTCCAGCTGCTCCTTCACGCGGCTCATGACGGATGATGTTGGCAAGTGACGTGGGACCCGCCCGTTGGCCCACTGAGCATTCTATTACGGATCTTGACATAGAAACAGCATGCTATTTAAATTACATCGTCGAAACACATTACGGGCGGGTTTATTCCGCATATTGCCGCAGCATGAGTCGGTGGGACGACCTCAAGCGCGAGGCCCGCGTCGTCGAGCGCGCCCTCGACGAGAAGGTCAACGCCTATGCATCCACCGCCCGCTCCATGAGCCGCACGAGTCGACCATTCGACGAAGGTACGCGTGTCGTCGTATCGAGCGCCGCTCCATGCAGGTGCCATGCGTAGAGAACCCGCCGCAGGCAGCCGACCAGAACGAGTTTGAGCTCGGTCTTGAGATCGAGCAGTTCCTGTCTTCGTTGGCCGACATCATTGACCGCATGGCCGCGGCATGCAATGGCTCGATGGCCCAGGAGGCCGTCTTGCAGCGGTATCGAGAACTGCACTTCGACTTTGGCCAGCAGTTCAAGCGCTCCGCCGTACGGCAACACCCCGTGCATGTGATCGCGTCCTCTTTGTAACATCATGCTCGTGCACTAGAGCACGATCCACGAAAGTCCGATGCGCAAAGCTCTTCCAGCGCAAGTAGGTCTGCGGCTGCCGTGCATCTCGCTCAGAATCTCTTTCTGTAGGGAACAGAACCCGTCCGTGGACCCCGAAGCCGAGGCCTTGCTGCGCGAGCGAGGCATGCTGGACGCATCCCGCACGATGGCCAACGACTCGATCAAGTAGGTCCAAAGCGCGGTCGTTCTTTAAAGATTTCTGATGCCGATGGCGGTAGCATCGCCATGGCGGTCAAGGAGAACCTTTTGAGTCAGCGCGCGCAACTCGACGGGTCGCGCGGCAAGGTCACGACGGTAGGGTCGTCTACCGCGGGCATCAACGTGCTCGTCGACCAGATTCGGCGCAAGAAGATGCGCAACAACATCCTCGTCGCGCTCACGATCGCGGGCTGCATCTGCTTCACGCTCTGGTGGACCTCAGTCGATTGTAGTCCAATTGTACATGTCTTCCTACTCGCTACAAAAACTGCCGCGTGACCTTGGGCGCTGCGAAGCGCGAGCTCATTTCGCTTGCCTGGCGAATGAGGTCGTTCGCCGTGTCTCGCGACAGGTTGCGGCGGTTGTTGATGTCGCGCTCGCTACACATCATCCTTCTCTTCAGTTGACGGCGCATTTACAAAGCGCATACCGATCCCACTTGGCCGGCGCCTCGCCACCCGAGTGCGCTGTTGCGGCAGCGATCTTTTCTTGATGGGCCTCGAGAAGCGATTTGCCCAGTCGCGGTTGCGGTGCAATGAACGTCTCTTCTTCCTCCTTCTCTTTGGCTGCAGGTCGCACGGTTGCACCGCCGGGCACGTACCCCAAGAGGTCCCTAGTACAGAGCAAGTGGCACTGGATGACGGGTCATCATTCGCCACGTACATTTGGCTCTTCTCGCGAAGGGCCCGCTGACGCTCTTCGGGAGACGCAAACCACGAGTCGTCGCGCTCGTCCTTCTCGCGACTACACATATACCGTCATCTGTTGGATCGATCTAGACAAGGAGAGACGCCCACCTGCGGAACTTGCGCCCCGTGAGGTCGCCGAGGCCACCGAGAGCGTCCTTGATCGAAGGGTCATTGGGCAGCGAGAGCATCCACTCTTCGCGCTCGAGCACGGGCTTGGTCGTCGGCGCGTCCGTTGTGATGCCTCGGACGCGGTTCCATTGCTCTTTCTCGAGAGCATCGGCGCGGCGCTGCATCTCCGCCTCGACCTCGGCACTGGCTTCGCGGAAACCCGCCATGCCGGGCAAGACCGGCCCGACGCAGACACCATCGTCGTCGTCGTCGTCATAGGTGGCAGGTGGCGGCGGCAGTGCTATGTCATCACGTCTCATTCTGCAGCAATCCAGTAAGTGGTACTGGGAGGGCGTTGGGGCCCCATGGGCATCGGGCGCTTCGCGTCCTCTGCGGGCGCTTCGTTTTTCTACACCGATGGGTTGCCGCGATGCCTCGATCGTTTTGTCGCATTACCTTGTCCATGAACCGCGTCAAGATCGAGCCAAAGCGGTCGCGCAGGTTGGTACGCTTGGCGACCTTGTGCTTGGAGTATGCACCACCAGGACCCGACTAGACGTAGCCTGCAGCGTCCATCAAATAGCCATGCAGTACCTCGGCCAGACCCATGAGCGGAAAAAGCCGCTCCAGCTTGGAGCGAATGTCGGTGTTCTAGAAAACGCTCAGGTGCTGCACTGCAAGTGAATCGGAGCACCTCAATACCGCCGATGACGACAGCCTCGCCCGACTCGACCATCTTGAGGATGCCAAGCAAATCGCCCGCGAGCGCTGGGTGCTCTTCACAAAGCGCCTCCATGAACGCGGCTGCCGCCTAGACCACATGTGTGGCGCCATGCCATCGTCATGGCAGTATCACCTCCATGTTCATGCGACCTAGCGCGTCGTCGGAGCTCGTCTTGTACTTCTTCGACGACTATATGGCGCATGGTATGCACCGCCGGATGAAGGTAGCACCGTGCATGTACCTTCTCCTTCTTGTCGTCCTTCTTGTGCTTGCGCTTCTTCTCATGCTTCTTGTCCTTGCCGCTGCCCATCGGTCTTCTTGCCGTTCGAGAACCGGATATCGTGGCGGATTATACGGATCACCTGTCAGAGCTTATTTCACACGTCATTTCACACACAGAGGTCACACAGGCGTGTGAAAACCTCGATGATTTTGTTGAGGTGACGCCACTCTGGCTTGGCCTCTCCGCATTCTTGACGCTTCGACCGTGTCCCTACGACCGAGTGCGCGGTAGGCGTAACACCTAGGGGAGCGATGTGGGGTCTTAGGTCTGCTTGGTTGACTTTTTCAACGGATGCCATTAAATGCGTGAGAAATGCGTGGGTTGATGCGGTACATTGCACAGGATGGGCGGGTTTTCTTCAACGAATCGAGATCACTTCCGCCCACCAGTGCTCCGTGGGATCCGTCCTTCTAGTTGCCCCCCTCCTCGAGGCGCAGGAGGTTGACTGGTGCAAGGGACTGGTGTCAAGACGAGGTGCTTAGGCCGCTCCATGATCATACTCTGATGCCCATCACGCCGAAAAGATTCGAATTTCGGCCAACCGAAACGCGTTGTTTGCCGTCCAACATCAAAATCAACGTTCGTTGCCTGTTCGGCGCTGCGATTTCAAAACGTGAAAAACGCTGCGGTTGTGCATTTTGGCCAATCGTGGCTCATGTCAATGGATTTATAGCCAATAAAAAGAAGGACGACTTTCGGGCGATCCAAAATTAAAAAAGCAGCACGAAGTCAGTTGCAAAGTAGCGCTGCGCAAGACCGACATGGCGACGACGCCCGCCGAGACGACCGCCGACTTTAACGACCTGACCGAGGTGATCGACAGCCTGGAGTCGCCGACGCACCACGAGCGTGACCACGCCGAAGCGGATCATCATGGCCGTGACGGCGCGGACCACGACGACGATGACTCCGAACCCACGGGCGACGAAGAGGCGAACGCTGATGTCCTTGAAGCGAGTTACGACGACCACGAGCATGGCGATGAAGACGTACCTGAAGATGGTGAGAACATGGCGAGCGGAAGCGTGGACTTTGGCGAAGAGCACTCGGAGCACCCCGATGATTTGACCGACGACCACGGTGAAGTGCATGTCGAGGAGTGTGAGGCCGAGCCCAGCCACGACGAAGCGATGGACGATCCTGTGCATCTCGTTGAAGAGCCAGTGAAGACGCCAGTGAGCGAGGTACATGTACACCCCCCTGTAGCGCCCACGTCCGTCCCGAAGGCAGCTACCAAGGTCGTCGCCAAAACGTCGCCGTCGCGACTCCGCAAGCCCATGGCCAAATCGCCGGTTGAAAAGCCAGCGTCCAAGCTAGTGAAGGCTGCACCGAAAGAGAAACTTACCGCGAAGCCCGCGAAGGCGGCCCAACCACGCTTGTCGCTGCAAGCTCGCCAGAGCATTGGCAGCAAGACAACCGAGGAAGTCAAGCCGCGGTCGATGCTTCTGCGCCTCCCGCGCGCTGCGTACGACGCGCTCTTTTCGCAGTGCCCGCTGGCGTCACTCAAGCAGATGGCCGGCGTCAACGTTGAGATGTATAACGCGGTGCACAGCCAGCACCGGTACTGGATCAAGGAAGGCGCGGACGTTCCAGCGTATGTCCCGACGCTGCTCGTCAGTGCCGACGCCAAGACGGCGGCCAAGTGGACCGAAGTCAAGGCTCATCTCCACGCGCTGGACATCGCACAAACAGTCAAGCTGGAGGACCTCCGCGTGCTGCGCAACTACCGGACCGCGCCGCCCGGGGTGCTTCTTCTCTCCAAGGCCATCGTGCAGCTCATGCGCTTTGCTCCGCCCCGCGCGGGCATGGACGAAAAAGCCGCCAATGGCGACTGGAGCGCCATCAAGACGGCGTTCCTCGACTTGAAACTCGTCGTGCGCACGCTCCGGATCGCTGCGGACCGTGTTGCAAACCGGCACCCGCTGCCGTTCACGGCCAAGCAGTTGGACGATCTCGTTGCGCTTTCCCAGAGCCCCGAGATGGACGAGGCCAAGTTCAAGCGCACTTGCAGCGGCCTCTTGCCGACGCTTGATGCGACTCGTCGCATCCTCGCGTGCCTCAACGTCCTCGCCCGCGAAATCGAGCTCACGTCGTTCGCCAAGCACCAGCTGCAGCACGCCGAAGCTGAAGATGTTGCAAAGGTTGCCGTCGAAGTCATCGTCGCCAAGCTCGAGGCCGCACCGCAGCCCGCACCCGAGAAGAGCCCGAGCCCGAGCCCCACGGCGACAGAGCTTAAAGCCAAGGCCCGAGCCAAGCCGGTGTCAACGATTCCCCGCGTCGCTGTCAAGGCCAAGACGCCGCCGAGTGTCGACACGTCTGTAAAGCCTGCTGTCGTCAAGTCGCTGACGCCCAAGACTGCACCTGTCCGTGGTACTTTAACATTCCCGACGAGAAATGGGGTGCGAGCTTTTGTAGCGGCCGTGAAGCGTCCGTCGACGGGCCCGTCAGGGATTGCCGCGCCCAAGGGTACGTCGTCGCCTCTCTTGTATGCATCGTAGCTTATTTGTTGATCCAAGGGCGCGCGAGTGACGACGCAAGCAGTACGAGCTCGTCCAACGGCGGTAGCCAAGGTCCGTGTCTGCAGATCTCTGTCCAATCGCCCAATGGCACTCGATAGTCAAGCGTGCGAGTGACGCCAAGCCGCTGGTCAAGCCCGCGTCGCGTGTGACCAAGCCAATCACAAAGCCGACGACAACGGCGGTGTCGCGCATCAAGGCGGCACCTGTCGCGGCACCGACGCTCAAGCGCACGCTATCGGCGTCGGGCGACTCGATGGCGACGCTTCGCGCCGACCTCGTCGCGTCGAGCGAAGAGCTCTTGAAGTCGACAACGGACCTCAAGGAGAAGATGGCGCAGGTCGCGGCGCTCGAGGCGTCGCTCGAGTCGGTGCAAGCCGCGCTGGCGGACGCACAGAATGACGTCACTGCGCTCAACGCCGAGTTGGAGCAGAAGTCGAAGGACCTTGAAGCCCGACAAGCCACGGTGCTCGAAATGCAGTGCATTCAAGAGACGCTCTCGTTTCGCGTGACGGAGATGACGCAGCGCGACAGCGAGCAGGCGACGACGATTGCGCAGCTTGAGACGGAGAAGAAGTACCTGCAGGCGCAGCTGCAGGACGCCCTCGCACGCGTCGAGGCCGCCGAGGCCGACGTCGAAGAAAAGCACGCGCTCGTCGAAGAGAAGGAGCACGAGCACCAAAAGTGGGAGCAAGCGGTGCGTGACCAGCTCACCCACGAAGCGCAGATGGAAAAGTACGACCTACAGAAGGAGTTGGCGGAGCTCCAGGCAGCAATGACGAGTCTCCGCGGCGAACACGAGCTCGAGCTCGCGGGTGCGTCTTGATGCCAAGCCTGCATTGTCTTGACGTACGTGTTGTCTGCAGGCAAGCAGGCGCGCATTGACCAGGCCGAGGCCGAGAAGAAGACGTTTGCCGACGAGTTGGCTTCGAGCGAGCGGTAGCCTCATCCTCTATGCGCCGCGACTTATTGTGCATACATGTGTATGTAGTCGTGCGAGCATGATCCACGAGGAGCGCCAGCAGCTCACGGCAAGCCTCCAGGCGGCGCAGGCCGAGGCTTTGCGCCTGCAGGCGACGATCGCCGAGCAAGAAGCAGAGCTGGTCAAGGAGAAGAAGCGGGCGGCGGCCGCCGACTCGGCGTACAACGAGTCGCTCAAGATGCGCTCGGAAGACGTGGCGACGCTCGACTAATATAAGACACGATTATAACACGATTAGCGCTAGACGCGCACGACCCACGCCTTCTTGAGCCGGTCCATCGTGCGGGTCGAGAAGAGTTCAAAGGCCGTCGAGAGCACGGTGGCCTGGCACCGCATCGCGCCGCAAGGCTCCTTGATGTACACGTACACCTAGCAAGCACGATGAGTACGCCCAAAAGCTTCATGCGTAGTACGCGAAAGTAGAACGGAAAAGTCTGCGCTGGGCCTGCACGCGTGGCCTTGCGCTTCTTGCGCAAGAGTGGTTGCACCTTCCAGACGTCGGGCAAGAACATCCACGTCGTCGTGAGGAACCCCGTAGGCAGCGTCACGCGCTTCGTCTACCACTCGGTGAGCGTCGCGTTGAGGCTACGCGTGCGTACCTCGACCTCTGTGGCCTCAAAGCACTCGGACTGGAAGAGCTCGAAGCCCGCGCCGTTGGGCGGTGGGAACGTGGGTGGTAGCGCCCCTTGTCGTCCAGGTGAGATCTGCTCGAAGCGGCCGAGGACGTGCAGTGGCACTGCGGTGGACGGCGCAGTGAGTGTGCAGTGTACTGGTGTGCGGCAGACGCCAACGGACGCGTGCTTCTTGTTGTGCATTTTCATCTCGTAAAAGTCGTGGTACTCGGGGCAAAAGGGGAAGCACTGGAGGTTCTTGCGCCCGTTCTTCCAGTAGCGTTCAAGGAAGGCGGTTGCGAGGCGCAGGTCCCATGGCGGTGGCGGCGGGAAGATGAGGTCGAGATTGTAGTAGAAGGCTGCGTCCGCGTCGTCCTTGGCTTCCAGTGCGATGGGCTCAATCTTGGTGTGGTCGAGCACAGAGCACGACGACGCGAACCGTGGCACCTCGTCGCCCTCGATGTCGCTTTCGACGGCCGCAAGCGCCGCCATGAGCAAAGCTGCCTCCTCGTCGTTCATGGCGAATCCCAAAATCGGGCAGGATGCTTGCCCACGCCGTCTCCGCCCTTGTCCCAACCCGAACGGTGTGCGATCCATGAGCGCCGCGTCGCATGTGACACCCGATGGACTATCAATCACTTCCTGAAGCTCTTGCGATGATGCGATGGATCGATGGAGGTACTAAAGGCGACCGAGCTGGCTTGACAGACAGGTGTAGCTACTCTATGATAGTAGCTGCTTCGAAGAGGGTTCGATTTGACGTTTAGATCTCGTCAATACTATGGCGCGACCTAGCAGTGGCTGCTGTCGTGCAGTTGCCTCATGGCGTCCGAGATGCATGTTGCTGTCATCTGCTTGTGCTGCGGTCGTCGTCCGATGCACTTACTACGATGCAATTCAAGCCGACGTTGCTGTCGTACGACGATCGGGTCGCTCGCACCGGACTTCAACCTGGTGTTGGAGCTAGGTTGATGTGCACGCCACCGATTCGATATCGCTCGGTTTGCGTCCGCTTTTCTCCTCGCCTCAACTTCAGAGCCTTGTCACCTGCTCGAAGAAGACGTTAGGTGGACTTGACAGGGTTCTGGTCAATTTGTCCGGATACCGCGTCCCTGCGACATGTTTGACCGAGAGCGTCCGGATACAGGTTGCGGTCGCGAACTTTCTATGGCACGGCTCGCGAAGGATCTTCCGACGCCGTCAATTCGGATTTCGCCATGTCTGGCCACCACCCCACGTACACGATGGCTGCCCTCCTGGTAAGACACGCGTGCGAGCGCGTCGGCTGACGCGCATGGCGAATAGGGCATTGGCGGCGTCATGGGCTACGTCAAGAAGCGCTCGATCGTCTCGCTCGTCGCGGGCGTCGGCATCGGTGCCGGCTTTGGTGTGGCTGGCTACATGATGCAGCACGACCAAATCGCCAATGGCCACGCCGTCGCACTCACGCTCAGCGCACTCACGATGACGGCCATGGGTTTCCGCGCTGTCAAGACGGGTGGTAAGGTCCCGATTGTCGTCGCGTCGCTGTGCGCCCTCTCGAGCGCGTACCATGCGCAGCGCTTCAGCGACTGGGCCGGCCAAGAGTAAAATCATTCATGCTCGTATTAGATAGTCGTCGTAATACACATTTGCTATACCCTCTTGTGTGTCGATAGCTGTGAGCGGACTCGGCTGGCTTCTGCCTCTCAGGGGCACGTCATGGGAGGCGATCAGGTAATCGTGAGCGGCTCTTTCGATGCACTAGGCGACTCACCACATCGGCAACCTGCGACGTGACGCCAGACCATGCTCCGAGCCGTGCGAACAAGCCAGAGGGACACTGCCAATATGGTTGACTAGCGGATGGGCGACCATTTGAAAGGAAACATCGGCGTCGTATGCCCATGCGTAAGTAAACGTAGCTTCCATCTCGTTGGCCGCGATATAGAAACAGGTCAACTGTTTCGGACCCACTCTTGCACCGCGATTACGCTCGATGAGGTCCCCAAAAACCTGTGAGCTCGGAGGTCGACGCTGTCGCTGAGAAGCACCGGACCAAGAAGCCCTGCGCGGCCACTGAGTATAGTTATTCCAATCGAACCAACGTCAACTGCCGCCGAGGACAAGAGTCAACGCACGATGAATATCGATAGTCGTAGTCTGTTTCAGTATCGTTGCTATACACTCTCCGGGACGTAGCCGTGCGCCGTTGTCGTCGAGACAGAGGCAATGCACGTGCCGAGCATGTCATCAAACATGGCGCCGGGCATGTTGGTGGTGAGGTAGATCTTGTTGTCCGGCTCCACAACGTGCGGGTCCATGATGTCCATTTGGCTCGAGTCCTTTTTCTCGAGAAACGCACGCGCAGCCGGGATGTCGACGCCGCCCGTGGGCGTCGACGGCGGCGACAAAATGCCGAAACCCGACGATGATGCGGACGACGTCGATGTGCTGCGCGTGATCTCAGGCATCTCGGGGTCGCCTCGAACACCTGGGGAGAAGGCGATCTCGACGCGGAAACGGTGCTCGTCCTCCTCCTAGACAGAGACCATGAGCTAGGACGCGGGATGATGCCATACCGGCAGCCACGGTTGCTCAAAGACTCGCACGATTATGTGCGCGAGGTAGTCCAGCTCCGTGACGTGGTCCAGCGCGGAGAGGGCCTCGGGTGTGATCATCTTGGCCGGGTCCATCTCGTACTGGATCTTCGGGCCGTCGCCGTGGATCTTGTTGATGCCCATTTGCTTGAGGAGGGCATTGGTCACCTCTTCTTCTTCAGGAACAGATGCCGCCGTGCGGATCGGAGACGCTGGCGCAGCAGTCGCCGCGGCCACGCGCGACGTCCACGTTGGGCATTGGTGTCGGAGGACGTTTAGTAGCGTGTGCATGTGGGACTCGCTCGTAAAGTAGAGGCGCGTGCGCACTTGCGTGCCGGGGCTCTTGATGCGTAGCTCCTTCGCAAATGATGGGTCGAGGCGGTACCCGTTGTGCTCGAGGCAGTCCATCTCCTCCGCATCGTCCGTGCAGAGCGGTAAAAACGACTTGCCGCTGCCGTATCCAATTGCACTGTTGACAACCGCGGGCGTCTCGTCCCGGGTAATTGTCATGGCCATCGCAATGTCTACGCACATGGTGAGATCGTCGAGCATGCTAGCGCAGATCCATCGCCTACCTGAGCGGATCTTGGCGCAGAGCGCTTGGGAGACCTTGGCACCAATCGATTGCTTCTCCGCCACGTCCATGCCTAGTGGAGTCCAACTGTGGGCTCTCGACCATCAAGATGGTTCCAAGAGTACCGTATTCTTGGGGCACGTAGCACGTTACAAAGCACTCGGCGAGCTCAAAGAGGGCGCGACCGTGCTTGAGGGACATGGCGCCCTTAAAGTTGTGGAGCATGTCATACTTGATGCAGTCGTAGATGTCAGGGAGCTTGCTTAGGTCGTACTCGAGCTTCCTGGCCGAGTAAAAGTCGCGGTACAGTTTCTCCCAGCGCTCCGAGACGAGGACAAGAGTTTCGCCCATGTACACTTCGTTCACCGTCGGGTCGTTGAGGAGCACGGCAGTCTTCTCGGCCTCGGCGCCAATCTCCTTGATCTCCGTTTTGACGAGCTTGATAAGGTCGTGGAGCTTCCGAAGCGCTTCGAGCGGTTGTGCAATTTGGCGCAGAGCAGCCGCCATGGACGCCGTCCCGAGCGGCGCCGCAGCCGCAACAAACGCGTCGACAGATGCATACTCGCGGTGGAGGAGCTTGCGCATGTTAGCCTTGGTCTTTTCGATCTCTTCGTTGGCGTCGGCTTGCCCCGAGTGGTCGAGCATTTTGTTTGCATCCTTGTCTAACGTCGTGACAAGGCTCACAAGGATCGGCGTCAAGTCGCCCTCGAGCTCGAGAAAGCCCTTTGCGAAGGCCGCCGCGGTCATTTGGACGCGCCCTTCATCCGACGTGAAGATCTTGAGGTCGTGTCGAAACGTCGAGTGCAGCCGGAGGAGCCCGCCTGCGATTCGCAATGATCCCAGCCGTCGAGAGCGATAGCGGTCGTACCTTCTTCAACAGGATAGAGCTCGTTGCGGAATCGGTTGCCGAGTTGCTCGCCCTGGCGCTTGCCCGTCTCGGTGAGATCGCCGCCCCACTTCATGATGAGGAGCAGCTCCGAATTGGTGCCGGACGCCGACGACGGCGGCATGTACTCGCGCCGAGGCTTGAACTGGACCTTGCGGTTGATACCGGCAAACTTCCAGCGCTCCAGCACGCGTTTGATTTGCAGCAGTTTTTCAAAGCTGTCGCCGCCTGCACTCTCTCAATGAGTTTCAATTGTACATATGTTGGCGAGTCCGACCTTCTTTCTCCCAGACAGCGCCCTTCGAGCCGACGTTGGGGGCATACTCCTTGATAAGGTTGCGCACGATGTCAAGGAGCTCTTGCAGGTCCATAACCGCCTTGACCTTGACCTCGTCAAACTTGTCCTTTGTGCGCCGCTTCTCGTAGAAGTTGACGAGGCTCGACGCCCACACACGTGTCTTGAGCTTTTGCTTGGGCGTGCGGTCACCGTGGCGCTAGTCACATTGTATTAGACCACTCGATACATGCTGTGTGTGCGTACGACGATCGCAATCACGGCGCGTAGCTCCTCCTTCTTTTCGTGCCAGTTGTGGTGCATGTCGTCGGTTGACGTTGATGAGCTCGAGCTTAGGCGCGAGTGGGCCGGCGGTGGCGGGTGCGACCCTGGCGAGCCAAAGCTGCCCGAGAGGTGCTCGAACGGATCGGACGAGTGCGACGAGCCCATTGCTGGGTAGTGGTTGTTGTCGACGAGCGCTTCGGTTGAAAAAGGAGGCGGCGAGTACGACGGGCTTGGCGGGTACCGCGGCGACCGGCTGCTGCGATTGTTGCGATAGCGCAGGGCCGTGAGGAGGTAGTTTTGCAGCACGAGCCCGCAGTCGTCGTAGTACTTTTTTGAGTTTTTCACAAAGCTCCAGCCGTTGACGTCGCACACGTACGACGTGCCGCGGACGCGGAGGAGGTCAAAGCCGCACACGGTTTGCTGGAACGCGAGGCACACCTTGCGCGCAATGTCCTTCTCGACAGAGTTGAGAATGACCGGGTACCGCACTTCCTTCCCGACGCTGTCGCGCATGACGCGCCCGTCAAGCACGGGCGACTTGCGCGCTTCGGCGTGGCCGTAGTTGGGTCCAACGGTGTACACTTTGACGTCCGTGCCCTGCGTGTTGAGAAACTCTTCGTAAATGTACGAGCCTTCGCGGCGCACCTAGCACCCAGGAGCTTGTATGGAGCGAAAGAGGAGACAGAGTACCTGGTTGACGTCGGGGTAAAATTCAGACGACCGGTCGCCGACTTTGCGAAAGAGGCGCTTGCTGCCGCCACCGGCGCTCGTCGGGTAGTAGATATAGATGTTGTGGTCCTCGGCGTTCGCAGGCTTCTCAACGAACGGCTTGTTGATTTGGACGCCGTTGACGATGATGCAGTTTTCGCTCTCCTCTAAGACGTCTGGGGTTGGGCCGTCACGGTTCACGACCGCGTGGCGCGGGACATTGACGCCATTGCGAATAAGCACCTCGTAGACCTTGCGCCGATCAAAGAGCACGTGCTGCATCGAGAGGTCGTTCACGAGCACGGGTCGGCGCAGCTGCACGTAGCGCTCGGCCTTCTCGAGCGGGAAGCCCGTCGAGTAGAAGCTGAACATGGCGTCGCAAATCGGCCAGTCTTCGATCGGCTGGCGCAGGGTCATTTCGTCCGTGAAGACGACGAGGTCAAATTGCTTCTTCTTGTTGAGGCGCCGGAGGATCTCTTGCATCGGCTTGGACCGCGTCTTCTTCTCCATGGCGCAGACGCCCACGACGTAGCGGCGGGCCATGGCCGGCGACGTCCGCGCGGCCGCGAAAGTTGTCGCGCGGTCGTCGTCCGAGAGCGTCGGCGATGGCGGCAGCGGGATCGGGAAGCTGCTGTTGCTCATGACGGCGCCGTTTGTACAGTGTATAAAAATAAGGCGTGGGTTTCGAAACACACCTGCGCCATGACGCGGGCCAATCAGAACGCACTTTGGAGCTTTATCGCACACCCATTGGTCCGATCAAAAATCGAAGCTGAGCGGCCAGACCAGCCGAAGGAACTGGGGCGCCACCACCAGAGTAGCCAAAGCTTAGTACAAAGATTGTACAAAGTTGACAGCGATTCGCCAACCATTATTGTACGATCTCGTATCGCCCGCAGGATGGCCGAACCCTGGTCGTGTCGCAAAGCCAAGGGGATATCGTGTGGCACCGCTGAATCGCAGGACTCAGATCGCAGTGTAGCGGCTCCAAGCGACTGGCCCTTTTACGCCAAGCCTCTATGCATCAAGGTCGAATCCTGGGCCGAATCCGGGAGATTCGAGTGGATACGAGCGACGCAGGTGCGTTCTTGAGGGTAATACATACATCCCTTGGCGCGTCAGTCCGTGCACGCCGCTGACGACGGCGTCCAGTGCTCGGCCCGATGCAAGAGCAGTCATGTCTATGCAGGACAAGATGGCCATAAAGAAGGTGCAAACTGCATAAAGAAGCAGCTCGTCACATGCCTGGTCGTCACTCTTATTACGTACTGTGAAAGCAAAGGGTTTGCTCAACGAGCCCCATTTCTTTTGGCCAATGTGGGGCAGTAGACAGGCGACGCGTAGGACATCCTGTGTTCAAGGATGTGCCGACTCTGGGTGCGTCGCGATCCATCGGAGCGCTTTGCGCCACGCGATTGGTCCATGCGTTGTCGCTTTTCGACGAATCACAGGCGCGAAGGCATGGCGGCGCTTTTTAAAATGTTTACAAATGCCAAGAGGATCGGTCATATTATTTTGCACGCCGATCGGGACCCCAGAAAGGATATTACCAATATGCTCAAGAAGTTGCTCGTCGTCGGTGGCTCTGGCGCGCTTGGTCGAGGCGTCGCTGCCCGCTTTAGCGCGGCCAATTGGTCCGTCGTCAACGTGGACTACTCGTATGTACACGGTCGCGTACGCGTATGGCTCACATGGTGCTCGCTGCAGGGCGAACCCCGACTCGGCCACGAACGTGACTCTCAAGACGCAGCAAAGCTCGCTCGCGCAGCTGCCGACGATTCTCGATGCTATCAAGAACGAGTACGATCAAGCGAAACGCGCTGTGTCTGTACAGCTACTCACGCCCATGTACGTAGAAAGGTTGATGCGGTCGTTTGCGCGGCTGGCGGGTGGGCTGGCGGCAGCATTGCGAGCGCCGAGACCCTCGAAAACTTGTCAGCCATGTACTCGATGAACATGGAGTCTGCTTTGCTTGGTACGACGCATATCATGGTCTTGCATCGCTTCACTGAATACGTAGCGGCGCATTTGGCGGCCACAAAGATGAACCCTGGTGGTCTTCTTGTACTCACGGGTTCCGTTGCTGCCCTGCAAGGTACACACACATCCATGTTCCCATGTGCATTCACCTGATACGATGCCCCTAGGCACGCCCGATATGGTCACGTATGGCATGAGCAAGGCGGCAACGCACCAGTTGATCGCGAGCTCAGCGTACGTCCACATGGCTCCATTGCACGTGCTAAAAAACGATGGTAGGCCCAAGCTGCCGGAGGCTGCGACCGCGCTTGGCATCCTCCCAATCACGATCGACACGCCGACGAACCGCAAGTACATGGCGGACGCGGACTTTTCGACGTGGACGCCGGTTCGATCGCCCGCGTCATGATGTTGCGATGACGCGATCCTTTTAGGTTGAGGAAATTGGCGACAAGCTTGTCGAGTGGGCGCAAGGTATCGAGCTGATGTATTTTCTGTGGCATGTTTGAACCAACGTCACGCGTGTAGAGCATAGCGCGCGCCCGACATCCGGCGGCCTCGTCACGGTGACGACCACTGGGGGCAAGTCGGTGTGGAAGGCGATTGGCAACCCGTTTGCGTAAGTCATTGAGTCCAAGTGCATTCAGATGCGCTTCACTGCATAATTATTGCGTGAGCCGCGTCGTTTTGTACCACAACTACGAGTTTCCTATTGCACTGGGCAAGGGTAAGCGCAGAGCGACTGGTGGCGAAACTGCGGCGGCGAGAAGTGACCGATGCGGGTGATGGCACCCGGGTCGCGAACGTCCAAGATGACGAGCCCTGCTTTGCGCGTGCACAGAAAAGCAATGCAGTCTAGCGTCACATCGAGGCTCGTGACGTCGACATCGGCCGCAACGTACGAGCCGACAAGACACAGCTCGACCTCGTTCGTGCGACGGGTGTGGACACGGAGGATGCGGAGGCCACCGGCGCCAATGGCAACGTACACGAACGAGTCACGCACGACGACGTGCTCGGCTGCGTAGGCCGGAAACGTGTGCGAGCACAGGAGCTCTGGCGCGCACGGGTTGGCGACGTTGAGAACTTGGAGGCCACCGTAGCTGAAGGCGACAAAGAGTAAGGAGCCAGCGAGCGCCATGTGCCGCGCGTCGAATGCAGCGTGCGTCAAGGCCGCGATCTCGGCAGGCTCGGCAGCGTTTGTTACGTCCAGGACACGAACACCGGCGTGGCCAAAGCTCACGTACCCCCAGCCATCAGAGAGGAGCACAAAGCGGGCCTCATGGTCGTCGACCTTGAAGCCACCGAGCTCGACGGGGCTCGACGGGTTGGCCACGTCAAGTGTGCGGACGCCAGCACGGCCAAAGGTTACGAGGGCAATGTCGCCTTGGACAGCAACGCATTTGGCAGCATACCGTGCGTGCACGAGCGCGCCGATCTCATCGATGTTGGTGTCAATATTCGTGAAGATGCGCAGACCGGCTTTTCCGCACGCCGTATATACGATGCACTTGGCCATGCTAAAGTGCTTCAGGGCCATGCCGCCGTGTCCATCGAACAGCTCCGCAAGCACGAGAGGCTGCTCCGGCACGGTCACATCAAGCACGAACATGCCCATTTGGCCCAGCGAGATGAATGCTTTGGTGATGCCGCCCATGGCCTCGACACGCGCCCATTTGACGCGGCTGGTCTTGAGCACGGGTAGCTTAAGAGCCTCGGGCCACTGCGACATGAGAGCGCAAGCGGACTTGAGCTCAGCCCGCGCCGAAGGCTCCATCGTCACGTACGTCGTCATGATGTTGGGCGCAGTCGTTCGTGGAAGAAAATGGATCTTGTTACCTGAGAGTTTGGGGAGATTCCTTCTCTGTAGTTTTTTCGGACGCTAATCTCAATTTCTCCATTGTTTGTACTGCCTTTTGTGAGAATATCACTTGCTACGTGCCATATTGGCACTAAACAGTGGAGTGCAGCGAGATACTTGCTGCGATAAAGGGCATGATCTCTAGATTTGAAGGAGCTATCACTTAAACTTTATTAGTGTTAAACATGTGTATAGTGTGGTGTTGCTGGCCTGTCGCAAAGCTCAAGATGAACGCTGCCGCACAATCGTCGGGCAAGGCCAAGGCCGCGCCGAAGGAAGCCGCGCCCCGCGGTGGCGACGCGCTCTACTCGTGGAGCGACGACCGCCTTAGCGAGGTCCGCGGCAACAAGCTCTGGAGCCAAGACCCCAAGTACTTTCGCCGCGTCCAGGTCTCGCCGGCCGCCACGATGAAGATGCTCTCGCACGCGCAGTCGGGCGTTGAGAAGGGCATGAGCTCGCCGGGCGGCAAGCCTGTCGAAATCATGGGTCTGCTCATGGGTCGTCCGTCGACAGACCCGTCGAGCCCCAACACGCTCGTGGTCACGGACGCCTTCCCGCTGCCCATCGAAGGAGCCGAGACACGCGTCTTGGCCGACGACGCCGAAGTCATCAACTACATGATCTCGCTCGGTGAAGCGACCGAGATCACGCGCAAGGAGAAATTTATGGGCTGGTACCACAGCCACCCGTTCGACGTAGAAGTCACGTCGCACTGCTTCCTGAGCTCGACAGACCTGAGCACGCAGCTCCAGTGGCAGCGCTCGGAAGATCCGCATGGGAACCCGTGGCTTGCAATTGTCGTGGACCCGCTCCGGTCGCTTGCCAAGAAGCGTCCCGAGATGGGCGCATTCCGTGCGTACCCTCCCGAGTACGCACCCCCCGTGAACGAGACGCCGGACGGGACACTTGTGACGGACGACACGGCGCGCGTTGAGCGCTGGGGCAGCTGCTGGAACCGGTATGCCAACTATTTTCGCTCTGTCATCTTCAAGCGTGTTGCTTAGGTACTATGCGCTCGAGGTCGAGTACTTTATGAGCTCGCTGGGGTCCAACGTCCTGAGCGTCCTTACGGAGAAGTTTCTCTGGATGCGCACGCTAAGCTCGACTCCAATGCTCGAGCGCGAGAATCGCGAGCGCTTCTCGGAGCGAATTGCGCTGCTCGCGACAAAGCTCGACGGCTGCGAGTCTATGGTGTCGTCGCAGCGCGGCTTTGGCTCGTGTACGTCCCATCCACTACCCCTCGCGATTGGATTGTTCATCGAAAACGTCTTGCGATAGCGCGTATGAGCAGCGGGTACTACGTTCCCGACTCGTCCAAGGCCGCGCCCGCGACTGAGGACTCGGCGCTCGACAAGTGCACGCAAGCAGCGAACGAGCTCTCGATGGAGCACTGCCACGGTCAGACGCTCCAAGTCGCCAAGCAAAAGCTCTTCAATTAAATACCCTCGCTTAACACGATCCAAGCCTACGTGAATCGAAGGTTCGCGCGCTTGGGCTGGCGGTGCATGTTCATTTCAAAGAGCTCTTCGGCGATGCGCTCTTGCGCCTCAAGTTCCTCTTGCTGCTTCTCGTACGCGCGCTTGCGCTCGAGGTCCACAGGTACTTCGCTTTGGTAGCGCGTGATGAGCGCGCTGGCGCGAGGCACGGCGTTTTTCTTGAAGCGCTTGAAGTTGCGTACCCCGGGCACCGGCGCCGTGGCATCGCGGACCAAGTACCGCGCGTGTGGTTCAGCTGGTGCTGATTTGCGCACAATGAGCTGACTCGAGACGACTGTTGGTGGCGGCGCGTCGTCGTCGCGCTCGACAGGCGTCTTGACATTCTTCTTTTGCATCCACGTCGTTGGCTTCTCGTCCAGCAAAGCGTCGTCGTCGGCGACCTTCGTCTCGGGGTCTGCGTCGTAGCGCGGCGGAGCTGGCGTCGGCTCGGGACTGGGTGGCTGCACCTTGATGTTTGGTGTCGATGGCAGGGGCGAGGCGGGCGGTGTTTCATGGCGCGCCTTGAACGTTGGCTTTTTCCAGAGCGGAAGCTTCGTGGGTACCGATTCGGCTTGTAGCTTGGTCTCGGGGACAGCCAACTGAGTCATCGGCACGGGTTCCATCTACGAGATGATGGTACCAACTCATCTCATGCATGCATTATGTACTTTGACGCTGAGGAAAGTCTCTGTCGCGGGCTTGATCGCTACGGCGCTGAACTCGATAGGTGTTGATGACTCTACGATCGGTGGCATTGTCGTCGTCTCGGGTACAAATGACGAGAGAGGTGGTGCGGCTTGTTGCAAAAGTGCGTCGAATGAGTCGTCCGAGAGGTACAGGGGTGGTCGCGTAAAGAGAATGCTCGCCACGAGCTCATGGTGCATGACGAACGCACGGCGGCGCAGTAGCTGGAGGCGTCGGAGTACGGAAGGGTCCCAGTCGCGCACGGAGGCCGACATGACGTCCGACGTCTGCGTGAGTTCCGTGCCATTTCCGGGATATACGATGAGCGGCGTTCGCTTTGTGGATACGACGGCGTCGAGGAGATCGGTGTCGTGCGCGAGGCTTGGCTCGAGGTACGCCAAGTAGACGACCCCGCCCATTGCTTGGACAAGAGGACCCATGGACGTCGGCACCAAAAAGACAACGAAAAAGTCGTTGTAGAGCGAACAGCGACGCGTGTCGAGGAGGTAGGACGGCGTTGCATGGGCCTGCATACTTCGTTGCACCACATGCCGGTGGTCCCATGAGAAAGTGTACCTGCTGGGAAGCTTGGATTGGGAGGAAGCCTTCGTAGCGCGGGAGGTCGCTGGACAAGGACTCACGAGCAACGACAGCTTGGACCCAGTCCGAGCTCACGACGGGATGCGCATGGACGAGCGCCCAGAGAATCTTCTCGGTCGCGACAAAGTTGCCGGCGTCCATGAGGCAGTGCGTGATCTCGGGAACTGGATTCGCCACGACGTGCATGCCAATGAGTTTGCAGTTCTCGAGGAGTCGGCGACGGTTGGTCTTTTGTATGCGCGAGATGCGGGCGACCTAGTCGCGAAGTAAGCGCATCGACCGCCACGCCCAATTTCGTACCATGCGCACGTAGCCAACGACGAGCACCGTGTTCTTGGCGCCGAACGAGATCTTATCGCCGACGCGCAGGTCCACGGGCACGTTTTCCTTGATCTGCGCGCCGTTGACGAACGTGCCAAAGCGCGACTTGCTGTCGACGAGCGTGAACGAGGGCAGCTCGGCGATGCGGTCGAGGTGCTCGAGGCCGCCGACGTGGAGCTTGGCGTGCTGGCGCGAGATTGACGAGTCGTTCGGGAAGTTGAGCGCGTTGCCCTTTCGCCCGAGCGTCCACTCGCCCTGCACGAGGCGCAGCGTCACGCCCTCCGACTCCCACTCGAGCACCCACATTTCAAGATATCGGATTGGCCCAAATCCAAACCTGACGACGATTGGATAAAAAGACAACTTTTCCAGCCGTGAGAATATACGGCATTTCAACCAATCGCATCCATCGATTGACCATGCGGACGCAACTGCTTGTGGAGCTCGTGCCCCAGCGGACGACGGTCTGCCTCTCCTTTGAGCACGCCAATGTGACGCTGGACGACGTCAAGACCCGCCTGCAGGTACGCGCTTGATGAATCTAATCCTGATGCTGACGTGTGGCACTAGGTGGACCAAGAACTGCCGACCGACGCCTTCCGATTCCTCCATGGGACGCAGCTTCTTGACGGGCTTGTGCCGCATGCACCTTTCGTCATCCGCGCGGTCCTCGCGCATGGTCTTCTTGGTGGCAAGGGCGGCTTCGGTGCTATGCTTCGCAGTCAAGGCAAGGGCGCGGGCCAGAAGCCCACGACAGATTTCGGGGCCTGTCGCGACTTGAGTGGTCGTCGCTTGCGGCACGTGAACCAGGAGATTGCGATCCAAAAATGGAACGAAGAGGAGCAAATCCGCGAGCAGCGTAAGCGCGACGACGTTGATGAGCGCGAGCTACCGCCGGAAGAGACTCCTAGCGGGATTGCTGGCTGGTACCTCAACACACCGGCGTGGGCCGAAGGCTTTGGGAAGAAAAAGTCCTCCAAGACCAAGAGAAAACGCAACACGATCATGTGCAACAATTGGCTCCAGGCCCGCGCGCGGTCAACACCTCCAGAGGACGCGCCGCGGTGGTGGGGTTGCCCTCGCGGCCGCAATTGCAATTTTGCACACGGCGAAATCGAGCTTCGAGGCGAAGAGCTCACTCTCTACAAGCAACAGAAGAAAGACGAAGCACAGCGTCAGAAGGACGAAGCACTTGCCACCTACTTGCATCCGGTCGCGCCAACGGTACTCGAGACGGACGTCAACGACGCGTTCGCGGCTGGGCTTCGCAAGCGCCGCGCGCTGCAGCAAGCGCACGCCGAGCAAAAGCAAGCGCTCGAGACGCAGATGGTGTACGCCCCTGGCGAGACGCGCTGGGCGACGGCGGCGTCCACAGCGGGTGCCTGGCTCGTACCTCTGAACGGCAACGTCGTTGTTGCGCAAGGCACGCCCGATACTGACGCGAGCGTTCTCGGGCACGGCACGTTTGGCACTGCAACTGTCTTTGGGTGCGCCTTGCACACTGGCCAGTGGTACTACGAGGTCGAGCTCGGCACGGCCGGCATCATGCAGCTCGGGTGGGCCGATGCCTTGTTCGAAGCCGATGACGACGAAGGCGACGGCGTGGGCGACCACGTTGCTTCGTGGGCCTATGACGGCCACCGCCGCCTGAAATGGACGAACGGCGACTCGACAGCCTATGGCGACGCGTGGGCGCCCGGCGACGTCATTGGCTGCCTCTTGGACCTCGACGCGCGCACTGTGTCGTTCTCGCGCAATGGCACGTCCCTCGGCGTCGCGTTCGACGGTATTTCGGCTGCGACACCAGCATCTGACTCGACGCCCGGTGGCTTTTTCCCGGCCGTGAGCCTCGAAGCGAACGAGCGTCTGCTCCTCAACATTGGTGACCGCCCGTTGCTCCACTGCCCTGAAAAGTACAGTCCAGTGCTCCATGCACTCGTCAAGGCCAAGGCGCCATCAACCCCGTTTGTTCAGCCCGCTGTATCGGTGTCTGCTGTCGTGAAAGAACCTTTGTCGCATCAAAGCGCTGCGCTCGTCGCGGCGGCCCCGGTCCAGGCTACGCCCGTGCCCGAAGCTCGAGATGAAGAGGCACCGCTACCTGAAGCCAAGGTCGACCTTATGGCGTGCGCTAGTATCGACGACCTCATCGCTCATGGGGCTGAAGTTCTGAAGGACGAGCTCGTGGCCAGAGGCATGAAGTGTGGGTATGTTTCACCCGACGGGCGATCTATGGCGCTAACATCTCGCTATTTAGTGGCCTCGCTACGGAGCGTGCCAAGCGCCTGTGGAGCGTCCGCGGTCTCGAAACCATTCCGTCCAAGCTGCTCGCTCGCAAGCCAAAGCAGTGAAATGATGTAGGAAACGTTTGATGAAGCGGTTGATGCATGGGTGCAAAATGGAACGTGCAATATGTACGCGATGCGTCTACTACCTAGTGGTGACCCTTGAGCTGGAGCTGCGTGAGCATCGTACGGCGTGTCGGCGGTGCGCGCGGAGCGTCCGCGTCCGACTTGAGGCTGATGCTGGGCACGAACGACGCGCGCTGCGGTGGCGCAAATGACGCCGGAAGTGGAGGTGCCATCATCGGCGGCGGCGGCAGTGGTGGCTGCCCGTGGAACTGCATCGCAAGGGAAGCCACGTTAAAGGCCGGATTCGATTGCAGCGGCGGTGGCGGCTGAGGAAAGAACTGCTGCATCGAAAAAGCTGGAGGCGGCAACGGCGGTTGGTACGACGGCAGTGGCGGTGGCGGCGGCTGGTACGAGGACGAGGGCGGCGGAGGTGGGTACGGCATGGGGGCTGGCGGCATCGTCTTGGGAAGCGGAGGTGGCATCGACGGCGGCAGCGGTGGTGCTTCGACAGTTTTGGCAAATGCAGCAAGGTCAAACGGGCGGTCGAGATGGAACGAGCGGTCCATCGGAGCCACGTCGAGCGCATCGAGGCGGAACGAATCCGAGAAGGACGGCACGTCCATGGTGGTCGACGAGTGCAGGCTCGAGAGAAACGAAGAGGCCTTGGGCTTGTTGAAGAGAAACGTGTGCGGCACATCATCACCGTCGTCGTCGTCCGTGTTGAAGATGGGCGGCTTCTGAAGCAAGACCTCGTCGTCGTCATCATCATCGTCGTCCAAGCCATCTTCGACAAGAAGCGGACGTCGCGCGGCGCGGGGCACGATTGTTTCCTCGATTGAGACGATCTCTTCTTCCTTGTGCTCGTCGTGATCGTAGAGGTCGCCAAGGCAGAGGCGGTACTTGGCTTGGTACTCGGGGCGACGAAGACGATGACGCTTCCGCTGCATTAGCACCCGAAATGTCAATAGCTTGTCGAGCTTCTCCGACTCCATCCCGGCAAGTTCAGTGGCAAACTCATGCTCGAGCTTGTACTTTTTGATGTACAGCTGAGCAATGTGATGCTGTTTCTCGCGAAGCGCGACGCGAATGAGCGACTGGGGTGCGTACGCTGGGTCCGTATCGAGGCCGAACTTGGACGCGTATTTGAGCGCCTTGTAGAGCTCCTTGAACGACAGCATCGAATCGAGCATTTGCCGAAGAAGAGGCGTGTCCGCGCCAAGACCAAAGTCCTTGATGGCTGCGATAGCAGGGAGGAAGTCGCCGCAGAGGATCATGCGCTCGACGAGCATACGTGTCGTGAACACCGAGGGTCGACCCTTGATACATTTGAGCGCGGCGGCCCACTGCTGCTCGTTCATCATGCGATCGACGAGCTTGTCCAAGAAAACTCGTCTTGCAGCTTGCACTCCTATTCCACTTGTGGCATAAGAGATTATGCCGAGAGAACAAGATGCGTACGACGATCGCGGCAAACGCATCCGTCCAAGCACGCTCTTCCATCAATCCCGCGATGAGCTGCTTGAGTGGGAACACACGCTCCAGCTGGAATTGTTTCGTATACTTGAGCGCTGCCTTGTACTGCTGGGCTCGAATCATGGCTTGGATAAGCGTCTGCGGCGTCCACGATGCGCGAGGCGCAGGACTCTCGGGGGAATTGAACGCCGGGACAAGCTCTTGGGCGTAGCGCACGGCGAGATTGAATTGACCGCTGCGGACGAGCTCCTTGATGAAGAGCGTGACAAGTGCTTGGTTTTCGCCGAGCTTTAGGTCGCGAATAAGCCGTCCCGCGAGGTCGAATTGGCGCTGGTCAAGCACAAGGCGCACGACGTCTGCAAGTTGGTACTTCTCCGATAGGTACGCCGAGCTCTGGATCCAACTTGCGGCCTCTTCGAAGCGGTGACTCGTAAGAAGCACTTGAAGCTGCTGCTCTAGCAGCGCTGGCGCGAGCTTCGCTGCTACGGTGCGCGCGGTGCGTTCCTTTGGGTTCGACTGCGTCGGCCGTGCCCGTGGTGGCGTCGGATCCGTAGCGTCCTGAGGCGTCTTTCCGCGAGACCGGGCCCGTGGAGGCGCTTCGGCTGGCGTCCGCCACTGCTTCTTGCGGCTCTTCGCGTCGTCCGCCATCACCTGATGTCCAGGGGCTTGGGAACCTCTCGGACGCGATACCGCAAATGATGGCCTTTCACGGGCCCACTCTATTTCGGTTATTATGATCGCAAATAGTGTTGAGCAGAGACACAACGCTCGCAGCTGCCTCGACGAGCAAGCATCCTGGTGCAGTCACTTGCTATGGATGGTTCGAAATGGATCAATCCTGCTACGGGCTTTAAGCAGCGACGAGATTATCGTCTCAAGACTCAGTCCACGCTACAGGCGGCAATGAGATTTTGCGGGTCATTTGCGAGGCCACAGCTCGTAGACCCTCGTTCACGTCGGCTCTGCGACGGGGTCATGGATGGAATCGCGCGTTTTTTACATCATACACTATTAAACGATGACACTATTGTCGCTGGGACGACGGGATTGGTGGGTTGTTCAAGAGAGCAGCAAGCAAGATGGCGCTCGAGATCGTGGCCGTGCAGGACAAGTGGGCTGAGCTGCTCCCGCCCAAGATCCCGTTGCGCTACGCCTTCTTCCGGTCTGAATATGAAGTAGCTCACACCTGATCCTGAGCTGTCATGTGCTAGGTACCTAGGCTTCTGCATTAAGAAGCTTGGCGTGGGAGGGCACACGTCGACGGGCGCGCAAAAGCTGGGTCTGCGTGCAGCAATTTGGTTCCGCGTCAGCAGCAGCAAGGGCCTCATCCTCGAACAGTGTGTTCGAAGCGCCTTTAGCGACGGGACCTACTATGTGCAAGACCTGGCCTTCCAGGACGAAGGTCTTCACACGTTCACTGTGTCCGTTGAGGCGCCGACGCTGGCTCCAATTGCACCGCTTGTATTGACCATGAGCATCCACCACTTTATGCGAATCGAAGACGAGCCAATGCTTTTGAAAGGACCGTATGCACCACTGCGTCGGCTTGTGAACCCGCGGCTGTGCACAGACCCGCCACAAGCCCTCGATGGTTCCGATGATGGCATCGTGCGCGAACTCAAGACGATCAAGCATGGTCTCCGCGCCTGTGACGCCAAGATACATGTGGTCAATTGCGCACATCTGACGACGGAGATGTACTAGTGGTGGATGCGAGCGTGCATTACCCAAGGCGACCTCGAGGAGCAGAAGCAGCGGAATCTTCTGAAAACATCCCAGGTAAGTTCCAGGACCACAATTCACTGGACATGTATTGGATTAGAAACATGAAGACCGCCTGTATCGTCGAAAGCCTGCCCGACCCAGTACAGTACTCTAGTGAGCGGGTTTCTCATGTACACTATTCTTATCTAGTCCGATCGGGTGACAAGCGAGATCACGATGGGTATTTTGAAGGGCGCCAAAAGACTTGAAACGCCAGCGCCGAGGCGAAATTCGGATTTTCTCGGTCGAAGCACTCTCAGGTACACTATGACCACAGTACCGTCATCATCTTGCCGACTCTTTAACGACGTAGCTAACGAAACCAACATTGTCTTCAGCAAGAAAGAGCTGCACCAGCAACTAGCTTTGTACGCGCAGAAATAACGCCACAAATACATGCCACTTTTGGTTATTAAATATGGCTCCTGCCATATGTATGAAGTAGGTCCCCCTCCCAAGGTAACTGCTAAGCGAAAAGCTTATCTTGAATTCACAGCATCAAAAAGAGGACCAGCTTTGGTACGGGACATCAATTTTGAAATTCACCAGGACATGGCGGCAGGAAAGCGAAGCGACTGCCTCTTCGGGACGTTACCCTTTACGAGCGACGAGCAGCAGCGCACGGACGCGTACCTGCGCCAGAAGCTCAACACAGACGTGCTCTCCCGGCGGCCCGGGCCTGGTGGCCGTCGTCTCACGTACCTCGAGAGCTGCAAGGCGATCGAGATCGCAAACGAAGCGTTTGGCTTCAATGGCTGGAGCTGCCGCATCGTCGACTGCAACCTCGAATACGTACGAACCATTGACTGTGATGATCCTTTATTTATCACGGCTCGTAGAAGGAAAAGGACGGCAACGGCCGTTGGAGCGTCGGGTATAGCGCAGTCGTGCGCATCGAGCTCAAGGACGGGTCCACGCACGAAGACGTTGGATTCGGAACAAGCGATGGTATGAAGGAGCTTGGCGCTGCTTTGGAGCAATCGAAGAAGGTATTTTACTCTATCTATTCAAGGCAATATCGTTTACCGTCATTGTAGGCTAGCATCTCGGACGCTCGGAAGCGGGCGCTACGCCTCTTTGGCGAGTACCTTGGCAACTCGTGTTATGATAAAGAGGTAGGCTGACAATCAAGGACAGAAAAGTGGCTCATATTTCGGCATACATAGCACATCAAGGACGTGGCGGCAAACAGGGTAAATGACGCAACAACGATTCTCAGACGACTCGCTTACTCTTCCGTAGGCTAACAACGTACCGCTCCAGTCCCCAACATCTATCAAGCTTGAAAACGGGGCAACAGCAAACGCTACTGCAGCGGAGCCCAACGCCCAACGTGTGCTACCACCAACGTCAACTGCACCACGCCCCGGCAATGGCTCCAAGCCACCACCAGCTGTCCAACGCAAGCCCGAAGGTCCAGCGGGGGTGTCAAACCAGACTTCTCCTGGTATCGCGCAGTACCCACCCGCAGCAATGTCTCGACCGCCACAGTACAACCAGGCAAATCAGTTCAATCCTCCGCCACCGATGAACCGCGGACCTCAAGGCCCCCCGAATGTGAAGCAGGAGCCATCGTTTGGAACGACCCGCAACAACGCCTACGCGTCGCGCTCGGCGCCGACTGTCGCCCCCGTATCTGTCACTCTTGTGGACCACGGCAAGCGCCCGCTGCCACAACAACAGGCTTTTCCGCGTCCGATCATGACCAACATGTCGCCTTCAATGGTCAATGCGTCGCCGTCTCTCGGTTTTGATCGGCAGAGTGCACCCGTGTGCATGTACCCTGGCGATCCTGGCGTTGACCTTGACGACCTACGTTACTCGCAGTTTGAATTTGACGCCAACGAGACAAACGAAAGCAAGAAGCACAAGTCGTAATGGATCAATTAAGGCACGATGCCGTTCGTGAGTTTCTGGAACTTGTCGTAGCGCTTCGTCCACTTGTTCTTGTAGCTGAGCTTGACAAGCTTGAGCGCGTGCTTGACGGCTGCATCAAGAGGCAGCGACTCTGCAAATCGCTCGCGAAGGCGCTGGAGGTCCTTGAGCACGTCGCGGTTGGTGAAGCAGGGAAACGTCGACTTGTGCATCATGATTTCGACAAGCGTCAATATCTTCTCGGCGTTGCGCTACGACGACATATATAGTCTCGCGTCAGCTATCAAGCGTCGTACCTGGAGCGCGACAAAGCCCGCAGCAAAGAGCTGCACAAATTTGGCAAACATGGGTGACTGGACACCGCCAAGGACCTCTACCATCTCCTTCGTAAGCTTGAACGGCGCTTGGCTCTCGAGGCTCCAGTTGCCACCGGGCGCGATCCCGAGCAAGAAGCCGAAGTCGATGTGGATGAGTCGTCCTTGTGTGTCGAGCAAGATGTTGCCGTTGTGCCGGTCCTTGATCTGGAGGATGAAGCACACGAGTGAGTACGCCGCGAGGCTCTGCACAAAGTTGCGCTGCGCAGTGCGAAAGCCCACGGATGACGGGTCACCGTACGTGCGCTCAAAGTGCACGCGCAGGCTTTTGTAATTTTTCTGCTTCTTGAGTGCGTCGAGCGACTGAGCATCGTTGATCGTCTCGATGAGCCCTGTAGAGTTGCCCGTGGAGACGATGCGGTACGAGCGCAGCCAGAGCGGAAGGCTCGCGGCGGCAAAAATGTCTCGAAACTTGGCGATCAGCTGCAGCGCAAATACTTCTTGGCGCATGTCGTCGTTCGACTTTGATATCTGAACCATAGAAGTTACTTGAGTGCCAGTGTGTATGTTGAGAAGGAGCTTACGACCGAGACGAGGTTCCAGCCGGGACGATGTCCGTCTGGTGACGCTGCCTGGATGCGCTTCTACGCCGTTATTTGCTAGCATGAGTATGTACTGCAGCTTCGTGCTACCTTCTTATCGCTCCAGCTCTCACCAAACACACAAGGGTCAAGGAGCATGAGCTTGGACAGTCCCATTTCGTACGCGGTCTTCGAACTGCGGCGCAAGATGCTCGAGTGAAGGTTCTCATCCACAATGTCTTTCCAGCTTGAAACTTCGTCGTCGTCCGACTCAACGGCGCTGAAGATCGCGCCGAGTTGTGCATGAACGAGGCGTGCGACTTCGGCGCTGTCATCCATTAGAGACGATGAAGACACGGTCGCGAGTGACGGCGCATGCGTTGGCGACAAGGGGCTGTCGTCGAGAAGCTTTGGCTCCTCATTGTTCGGAGCGTCTTGAAGCACTTCAAAGCAAATGAGGCACGGCGCGCGAGAGTGTGTCGAGAAGACAGTGCCCTCGTCCGGTAGGACGCGCAGCACACGCGCGAATGGGTCCGAAGCACGGCCCAGTGGGATATATGCCATCTCGGGGATCTCAAGCTCCCGAAGGAGGCCGGGAAGGGCTGGCTTTCGAAGCTCGCGAGGCTCCAAGTGGCGCATTTTCTCAGAAATATCGGTGAGCGCGCGCACGAAGTCCCGTTCTTGGTGAAAGTACTTGTAGCGCTTGAGGCGCTCGGTCTCGACCCACTGGAGGAGAGCGATCTTCTCGGCGTCCGTCAGCGGCATTGTTGGATCCGTCTCATCGTCGTTGTCGTCGTTTCGAATTGCATTACGCAAACCTGGGACATCGTGCACGACCTGAGAGAGCTCGAGGTGCTGGTTGACGACCTTGGCCTCGATTGACAGGAGGAGCATGGCCACGAGGTTGTAGGACGGTGACTCGCAGCAGTCGTGGATGAGACTCTCGAGGAGCCAAAATAGCTGCAGCGCCAGGTGGATCGAGTTGCCCAGGTGCGCGAGGTACGACTTGCCCTTGCAGATCGAGAGAAGCAGAGGAACGAGCTTGTCAGCGTTTCGAGGCGTGTCGGCGTGGATAAGCAAGTGCACGATTTGCTGGAGGTAAAATTCCACCTACAAAAAGATGTAAACCACACATCGATGGCAGTAGTCGGACGTCGTCAATCGACCGCGTCGCATACTGTGCGAGCTGGTCGACAATGAGATCTGTTGCCACGGTGTGATCCCGGTACTTGTGCAAAAGCCTAAGGCGGTAGACTTAGAATTGAGTAGTGGTATACCGTACATACGCAACGGCGACGTGGCCGTCAAAGTCAGGTTGTCGCAAGCTTTCGGCAATGAGCTCCTTCTCGATGTCATCGGAGCAAAAATTGAGTGCCATCATCGCATGGTGCCAGCGCTGCTTCTCTGTCTTGGTCTCCGCTTCAATAACGAGGACCTTGGACTTGACCGTCGAGACGATGAGCGCGTTCTGGTAAGACGCCGAGCCTACGAGCGACTCCTTCGTGCCTTTCTCCAGCTCGTCCATGTCCTTGACTCCGACGACGGAGTACGACGTGCGTGGTCCCAAGCGACCCTTGGCCTCTTCCTTGTTGGCAAAGACCCCTAGCGTCCGGCCCGAGAGTACGCAGTAGCGGCGCCGGCGCATGTGCAGTTTCACGACGAGGTAGCCCTCTATCTTTGTCGGCTCGGCCGCGGGGTCGTTGTTGTCCATGCTACTGCCTGAGATCCACGAGCGACGACGACGATGGAAGATTGAAGCGGTTTTGGATCTTGGTGTTTTACGCGTTTTACTCTTCGAATAGTGGTTTCGCGTTTAGCGCAGTGCGTTATTCAGAACTACTGTACACAAACAGCAAATTCGTCCCAGTGAGCATTGGCAGGTGGTCCGAACGCAGGCCATGCTCAGACCACGCCACCTACAATGGTCAACGTCTCCAGTACAATGGTTTTTCAAACGCTTGAGCTCTTGGTACCGCTGTTCCTCGAGAGTTCACTGGTTCAAAATGTAAATGTATCTTTGCCGAACTTTGAGATGGCGCGAAATCGCAACAGTTTCCAGATATGGTTGGCTTGAAACGAGTATACCGGTCTCGTTACCATTCACTGTTCGAAGGCTCGCATTCGGTCGTTTGCTCGAACATGCCGACGTATGGAGCGGGGCAGCCCCTCCTGCACGCGCGGCGCAACGCCTTCACCGAGGCGGACCGCAAGTGCCGTGACGTGCTGTGTACTGATGTGCTCTGTGCATTATCCATCGTCTCATGCTGCTGGATTCGTAGGCATTCTCCTCTTCCTTTTGCTATGGGTTGGAATGGCCTTCGTTGCTGCTGTCGCGTACCAGGTACGAATATTCCTGATGCTAGTCGTATGTCGATTCAACTCTGCATTAGAATGGAAGCCCTGGCGCACTCATTTACCCAGTCGATCACACAGGTAGCTAAAGGAGGAGGTGGTGTGTTTTTAGTGTTGAACAGGGAACTTGTGCAACGCGACGTATCCCGACATGTACTACCCGCACCCACAGGCCGACGCATCTGCTAACGTATTTTGTTTCGGATGTTTCGTTGACCATGTGTGATCATATTCGTTTCGGGTAGGTTCCATACTATGGCATTTGCCTCGCTCAGTGCCCCATGAAGGGCGACGTCGTTGAGGGTCGCGCCGCGAACGTGAGCTTTGAGCCACTGCTCCACCGCTGCATGCCCAAGAACATCACGGATGCTTCGACAAAATCTGCTTACGAGGGTGTGTTTGGCGATGCTTCGACCGCCTTCAAGTATCTCTCTCGCTACATCCACGACCTGCAGGTCACGTACAAGGCCATATTGGGCATTGGTGCGGCCGGCGGCTTTATGGGTTGCCTCTTTTGGCTCGCACTTCTACGCTCGGTGCCGCACCTCATCGTATGGGCCAGCATCCTCGCTGTTCTTCTCGCACTTCTCGTGTGCACAGCTGTGTGTGCGTCTGAAGCCAACTTGGTTCAGAACAGCCAGATCAGCGCACTGGCGTCGTCGATCCGGATTGAGACGAACGCAAGTCATGATGCGTACTTCAAAGTGGCCACCATCGTGCTCCTTGTCATCGACATTGGCTATGTGCTTGTCCTCGCCTTCCTTCGGTCTCGCATTCAGCTCTCGATTGGCATCATCAAGGTCGCTTGCACTGGCCTCTCGGTACGACTGTGCGTTCTTATCGTCATCAACCAATCAATTCCTTGTGGTAGCACATTCCCATGCTATTGTTCTTTCCAATCGTGCCTGCGCTCAGGTTGCTCGGCCTATTTGCATATTTTGTCGTGTCATCTGTGTACATTGCGAGCTGCGGAAACCTCTCAGCGGCGCAGCTGAAGGCTACAATGCATGGACCCCGCTATGCAGATACGAGCAGCAATGCGACGGATCCGAACCTGATGAAGTACCTCTTTGCCTACAACATCTTTGGCATCTTCTGGACACAGCAGCTGATTGAAGCAATCGCTGTGTGCACGATTTCGGGCGCAATTTGTCGCTACTACTGGTGTGACAACGATCGCCGCCATGATCTTGGCTGGGCTGTCGGGTAGGGCTCCATATCTTGTG